ATTATTATTATTATCATTATTATCATCATTATTATTATTATCATTATTATTTTTATTATTATTATTATTATTATTATTATTATTATCATTATCATTATCATTATCACTATTATTATTATAATTATTATTATTATCATTATTATTATTATCATTATTATTATTATTATTATTGTTATTATTATTATTATTATTGTTATCATCATTATTATTATTATTATTATTATTATTATCATTATTATCATTATTATCATCATTATTATTATTATTATTATTATTATTATTATTATTATTATTATTATTATTATTATTATTATTATTATTATTATTATCATTATTATTATTATTATCATTATCATTATTATTATCATTATTATTATTATTATTATTATTATTATTATTATTATTATTATTATTATTATTATTATTATTATCACTATTATTATTATCATTATCATTATTATTATTATTATTATTATTATTATTATTATTATTATTATTATTATTATCATTATCATTATCATTATCATTATTATTATTATTGAATTAGGCCTATCCAGAGAATACTTATTGATACTTTTACATATTTCAACTTACAGTTCGATACTGATTTTACTCTTCTAGACATCTGATATCACTTTCCATTATGAAATACTTACTCAGTTATAATTGATATACTTCCTCATATGAGATGTTCTTTGATTGCTACCAATGTTTCGGCATTATGTTGTTTTGGAATTTGGGTTTGTTTTGACACTCGTATCGTTATTACTTGGCTTATTTATATATATTTTATATTTTACAGAGCGAATCCTCGACCAAACTTTGTTATTGTTGTTATTGATATAAATATAGACATTGAAAAGAAACAACAAGAGAAAATTTGAAACTGTCACAAATATACAAATACAGCTACAATCTACAAATACAGCTACAATGACTAGAGAGCAGAAGATTTTAAATTTCATTTTAGTTGCCAATATCTTTCAAAACACTGGATAAATAAACAACCAAATCATTGACTGGAGATTGGTTAAAAATAACGTCATTAGAACGAGACTGTAGTAGAATACTTGTTAACTTACAACGAGAGCTGAAATTATTAGAAAAGAAAAAACAAAACTGCAATATTTCCAACCCAATTTGATTATAAAAAAAATGATTTGACTCTAGAAATATTAAAAACTATATCTGTATATTGTCTATTGTAAAACTTATTAAAAATCATTTCCTCTCAATAAATTATAGCTTGTTTTTTTATTGAACTATTTCGTCATTTACTCATTCTTTCCTATCACAATTATATTCCTTGACAATACTAATACAAACAAATACAATAGGCTCTTGACCGTTTGACCTTATATGGTATGCCTGACCAAAACAGACGACGGTGAAATAATAAACCAAATCGCCATCTGTGATAAACCAAGATTCAAGGCGTTTTAGTTTTTGTATTAAGATATTTTCAGCTTCTCTTCTTTTCTCATTTTCTCTATAAAGTTTGTGGGTTTTAAACATCCCCCAATAAATAAAACTTATTTGATTTGATGTTAGTAGAAGCTGTAATCTTTCTGAAACATACAATTTACATTGATATGGATAAACTTGAAAATGTAGAAAGAACTCGCTTGTGATTAAACATTTTAAAAAACTTTGATTTGACGGAGAAGGGTGTGTTCTAAAGAGAATTCATTCGATATATGGGATGGGAACAGGAGGTTGTATATGGGATGGGAACAGGAGGTTGTATATGGGATGGGAACAGGGGGATGTATATGGGATGGGAACAGGGGGTTGTATATGGGATGGGAACAGGAGGTTGTATATGGGATGGGAACAGGAGGTTGTATATGGGATGGGAACAGGAGGTTGTATATGGGATGGGAACAGGAGGTTGTATATGGGATGGGAACAGGGGGATGTATATGGGATGGGAACAGGGGGTTGTATATGGGATGGGAACAGGAGGTTGTATATGGGATGGGAACAGGAGGTTGTATATGGGATGGGAACAGGAGGTTGTATATGGGATGGGAACAGGAATTCAACTATCTATTAACCTAAGCGATTAAAGGGCAATAACTCTTCCAAACATAACTTGGTTGAAGAGAAAATTAATTTTAACGTCTGACTAATCCAATACGGCAGTGAACTGAATATAGCTTGAGAACTATAAACTGATAGCTCTATTACTGAAGGGAGATAACTCTATCAAATATAAAAGAAGGTTGGAAAGAAGAACTAACTGATAACTTCTACCAAAGCGTATTGTTAAGTTGGTTGAACTGGATTATTCATAAGAGAAGTTTGGTTGACAAACAGGTAGTGACGTCATAACACCATTGCCTAAGAAGCTCTGTTAACATAAATAAAATTGATTTAACGGTTAGAACGAGAGTGACAGAGTGTAACTGTCAGCTGAACGCAAAAATATATCCCGGCCTCGGTCTCGACCTGGCTCTCTGTCCTTCATTCGATGGTAGTTGATACTGCACTTTGATTTGGGTATCAATTAGTTCAATCAGGGTGCAGAAAAGTAAAAAGTAAAACTAAATTTCACAAATTTTCTTCAAATTTAGAAATATGAGTCAGAATGCACCAAATCCGTTCTATTATTAAAAATATGTTAGTTTTGAATTTGAAATTCTTTAAGCAGAGTTAGTTGATTTATAGGCTTCCAACTTTATTTAAGAACAGAGGGGGCTGTCGGTTTTACTTTCCATTCACTCCTCGTACCTCTACATACTCAATAGATGTCATCGCCTCATGGGACATCAAGCTCAGAAACCATAACCACAACAGTTTTGTAGTAATGTTGTCTCTATAAAGTTCACACGCCTGATCTTATCTTGTCTTATCACAGAACAAACGAGAAGATATCATATAATAGTAAACCTCATCGGAAATAAACCAGAATAAATCAGTGAGTTGTAGAATTTTTCTTCCAAATTTCACTTAATGATATCTGTTTTACACCATTACGTGAACTCTTTCTTTCAGGCGACTGTTCTGTATTTTCGTGTTTGTTTATATTTGTCAAACGACTGGATATTGTCAAAGTCGACATTAATGTAAAAAACAACACGTTTATCAACCTTGATATTGAATAATGGAGGCGATAATTTTCACCAACAAGGAAATTGAAATAAATTAAATTCAATAATTTCCATTCATTGATCAAATCTGTCAAATTAATCTCTAATCCATTACAACCTACTATAAACATTATTTCTATAGTCAACACAAAATCACTAAGTCTTATCAGGCTTCGGTATAACAACTACAGGAAAGCTCCAATACATAAAAACATATACCTCGACGAATCTAATACTTGAGGGCAAACAGATATTTAAGAACTCAATGATAAGAGGTAATAGATCAGGAATATTTCTATTTGATAAAAGTATTTCTTCGTTTCCTTCATTGTCATAATGCCAATATATTACTAACTTTATCTTAGACCTTGACTGCAATAGCCACTGTTCTTGTGTCACAGAATTCAGTGATTTTATTGTATTTTACGCTAGCAAATACAGCCAATCAGAGACTTCGACAGAAAGGTTGTTGACATTATGACTTACTTTTTACAGACTTTCTGTCCAGACCTCTGATTGGCTGTATTCACTAATGTACAATCAAACAGCTGCATTTACAAACTTCTGAAATACAAGAAAAATAGCTATTGTAGTCAAGGTATAGTATGAAGTTCGTAATAGCTTGACTTGGCGAAGATGCCCACGTGTAGGCTACTATATTTCTTCGTTTCCTTTGAATTTTGAAAGAAGTGGATTAAAAGAATTAACACCGTCTCGACAATCTGAAAGATATTTCACAATTGGTACAGTTATAATAAAAACAAGATTTAGAAAGTTTTTTTAGATAATTGGTATTAAGTATATATATATTTTAAAACTGTTTACTGTGTCATCTATTCAATACAATTAGTTCTTTATAAGACTAGGGAGTCACCAGTATAAATATGTCAACAGAAAAAAAACGTTTGGTGGCCGAATCTGGGCATGTACCCGTACCACTATTTTTATATTATGTTGCCAGTTTATTTTGACAGTAACAAGTGATTTTGGTTTCATATTATTATATTAGTTTGAAATATTATTTGAAAGATAGCAACAATAAAAGGGTGACAAACTTGAATTCAAATCCGAGTGTTTTTATAGGAAATCTTGTTGTTAGAAATATGGTGGCTGTCATAACATTAGCCTGAACCAAAACTCAATTCCTTACAATAAAATATCTACAGTTTATTTGAGAATTCTTAACATGGGGTATCTATAGATCTAGATATAGGCCACACTTTTTTAAATAATATATTAAATATTATAGAAATACAAAATGGCAGAAGTGATAGATATTCTGATCAGTTAGACTTCTACAACCAATCAGAAAATTAATTTGTTGAGGGCACCATATCTTTAAGTTGTTATTAACCCACCATAGTGACATATTAATTCACTTTTCACGAAATAAAAATCAGGGACGAAACTAATTTGATTCACGTAATAGATGGTTATTACAAGACAGACAACTCATTGTCATATAATTTACTTCTGACTATCTCGCGCTCTTTCAATATCTTCACTTCTGCCGTCCTTAGCGACGCCATTCGCGCCAATTAAAAGCGATTAAGTTGATTGGTCAAGTAAAATATGATTGACGACGTCATCCATCATAAAGAAAAGCAATTATACACAGACCGTCTAAAGCTTTCAAGTTTGTTTTTTTTATTCGGTGTATCATAATTTCTGCGTGGTTGCAAGTCACTGATAAAATAATTAAGTTTAAAAACGGTTCAGAAGCAAGATTGTCTTCCTTTTAGTCAAATCACCCGTAAACTGACTGATTCACTACATGCCTTCATAAACTTTCTGTTTCGTTGATTGTGGACTTGGTTTGGTGAAATTTGATATTGAAGGTTACCCAAGCAAGGTAAGTCACTATTCTACATTTTTTTATTCTGTGAATGTTTTAAAAGGGAGACTGTATTTTTTTTGTTTATTTATTTTTTATCTAAAAGTCAATATTCTTGAGTAATTTACCGGATGAATTTATTTAAAAGAATACTATTTCTTAGATTGAAGATAAAACTTAAACTTTGACAATAAAAGTATTTTATTAATCAGTGAATTTACCTGGTGTTTAACTAACAGAATCCTCATTAAATACAGTTAACTTAGAATTTCTTAAAAATATTCAGCATTTTTCAATGACTAATGGAATATTATGGCGTTTAATGAATGTTTTTTTGGATTATAACGATATTCTGTTGTATTATTATGATACCAGGTAAGTTCACCTGATGTTTAATATATACTCTGACAGTTTTTAATAAATTCATTATTTTATCATCTTAAAGAGTAAAGAAGAATTCTGTTATTATTACTCGAATATATGAAAATAAATAAACCAAGAACTAACGATTGTAACCAGAAATTCAAAAACAATACATTTTCAAACATTAGTAGCAGCCAATGAACTTCTTAGAACAGCCAAACTAGAAAAAGGTATAGAGTTGGAAACTAATATAAAGATTAAGAATTAGAAAGAGAATTAGAAAGAGAATTAGAAAGAGAATAAGAAAGAGAATTAGAAAGAGAATTAGAAAGAGAATTAGAAAGAGAATTAGAAAGAGAATTAGAAAGAGAATTAGAAAGAAAATAAGAAAGAGAATTAGAAAGAGAATTAGAAAGAGAATTAGAAAGAGAATAAGAAAGAGAATAAGAAAGATAATTAGAAAGAGAATTAGAAAGAGAATTAGAAAGAGAATTAGAAAGAAAATTAGAAAGAGAATTAGAAAGAGAATTAGAAAGAGAATTAGAAAGAGAATTAGAAAGAGAATTAGAAAGAGAATTAGAAAGAGAATAAGAAAGAGAATTAGAAAGAGAATTAGAAAGAGAATAAGAAAGAGAATTAGAATGATTTTGAAATTATTTTAGAAATCTTCGCACGTCTTACTATTTTATCATAATTTACAATGTTTTTAATAAGGAAACATTGCCTACTGTTCCTTTAAATTAATCACGTATGAACATGGCGAAGTTTCAAGACTGTTAACGTGGTTTTTTTATAATGGCGTAATTTGATTTTTATGGTTATCTGAATTGAACAGAACAAAACAAAACAAAACAAAACAAAACAAAACAAAACAAAAAAGAATTTCATGTAGGAATAATAAGAAATTTTTTGTGTATAGAATGTTTATTGTTTTTATATATATATGATTGCTTTTAGATTTAATTTGAAAATACTAACTGAATTAAATTTAACGGCACCAAGAAATATAATAATATAATTCTAATTTTATGACCTAGGCCCGTGGTTTTGTAAAGGTATTTTATTCTCATATCACCCTAACACGAACGTTTCCGAGGTTAACTATTGCAGATATAAAGTTAAGTTTGTTAGCAGTTTTTACAATAGATTTATTCAATAAAACACTTAGTTTTAGTAGAATTGTAGGAACCACAGATGTCTGATTAGGGATTTTTTTATATTAACAATAGTCATGAAATAATTCAGTTAAGTTCTAGATGGGATTGCAGGGAACCTAGACGTCTGATTAAAATATGGAATAATGATAATTGATACTTGCAGTGTTACTGTTATAAAGATTTTAATTTGCTATCGTTATGTTTTGTCCTGTATGTATGAAAGCAGAACGTATATTGACACCAAATGATACATTGTTTGTTTTGATTGTTTATAAACCTGAACCATTACACAAGTTAACGTCAACTCTGAAAATTGTAACAAAGAAATTGAGATATATAGATTGTATCAAAGAAATTGAGATATATAGATTGTATCAGAGAAATTGAGATATATAGATTGTATCAGAGATTGAGATATATAGATTGTATCAGAGATTGAGATATATAGATTGTATCAGAGATTGAGATATATAGATTGTATCAAAGAAATTGAGATATATAGATTGTATCAGATTGAGATATATAGATTGTATCAAAAAAATTGAGATATATAGATTGTAACAAAGAAATTGAGATATATAGATTGTATCAGAGAAATTGAGATATATAGATTGTATCAAAGAAATTGAGATATATAGATTGTATCAAAGAAATTGAGATATATAGATTGTATCAGAGATTGAGATATATAGATTGTATCAAAGAAATTGAGATATATAGATTGTATCAGAGATTGAGATATATAGATTGTATCAAAGAGATTGAGATATATAGATTGTATCAAAGAAATTGAGATATATAGATTGTATCAGAGAAATTGAGATATATAGATTGTATCAGAGAAATTGAGATATATAGATTGTATCAGAGAAATTGAGATATATAGATTGTATCAAAGAAATTGAGATATATAGATTGTATCAAAGAAATTGAGATATATAGATTGTATCAGAGAAATTGAGATATATAGATTGTAGGTATAGAAAATAAATCATTTAGACGACTAATATAAAAATAGATATTTAATGAAATATTGTTTTATAACCTACTGTTCTAGTAGTTGTTATTCTGAATGGGCTAGTAAAGATCGTAACAACATGAAACCATAGAAATTTTGGCGGAACAGCGACATCATCTTTCTTTTAGTGAGATTTTTAAAGGCTACATTTCACGATTTTCGTAGTCGAAAGATGAGTCGTCATTTTAACTTTCAAACCTGGATTGATTTCCCAAATCAAATTTTGACAATGAGTTGTGAACACTGTCTTGTTTTAAAAAAAATCCTATTTCCAAGATTCAGGTATGATTGATCAAACAAATGGTGAATCTGTCCCTTAATATTTGTGAGTTAAATTCAATCACTGGTAATTCTGACAATGGTAAAGTGTAATTCTGACAATGGCAAAAATGTAATTCTGACAATAGTAAAGTGTAATTCTGACAATGGTAAAGTGTAATTCTGACAATGGTAAAATGTAAAATGTAATTCTGACAATGGTAAAATGTAATTCTGACAATGGTAAAATGTAATTCTTACAATGGTAAAATGTAAAATGTAATTCTGACAATGGTAAAATGTAATTCTGACAATGGTAAAATGTAATTCTGACAATGGTAAAATGTAAAATGTAATTCTGACAATGGTAAAATGTAATTCTGACAATGGTAAAATGTAATTCTGACAATAGTAAAGTGTAATTCTGACAATGGTAAAATGTAATTCTGACAATGGTAAAATGTAATTCTGACAATGGTAAAATGTAATTCTTACAATGGTAAAATGTAAAATGTAATTCTGACAATGGTAAAATGTAATTCTGACAATGGTAAAATGTAATTCTGACAATGGTAAAATGTAATTCTGACAATGGTAAAATGTAAAATGTAATTCTGACAATGGTAAAATGTAATTCTGACAATGGTAAAATGTAATTCTTACAATGGTAAAATGTAATTCTTACAATGGTAAAATGTAAAATGTAATTCTGACAATGGTAAAATGTAAAATGTAATTCTGACAATGGTAAAATGTAATTCTTACAATGGTAAAATGTAAAATGTAATTCTGACAATGGTAAAATGTAATTCTGACAATGGTAAAATGTAAAATGTAATTCTGACAATGGTAAAATGTAAAATGTAATTCTGACAATGGTAAAATGTAAAATGTAATTCTGACAATGGTAAAATGTAAAATGTAATTCTTACAATGGTAAAATGTAAAATGTAATTCTGACAATGGTAAAATGTAATTCTGACAATGGTAAAATGTAAAATGTAATTCTGACAATGGTAAAATGTAAAATGTAATTCTTACAATGGTAAAATGTAAAATGTAATTCTGACAATGGTAAAATGTAAAATGTAATTCTGACAATGATAAAATGTAATTCTTACAATGGTAAAATGTAAAATGTAATTCTGACAATGGTAAAATGTAATTCTTACAATGGTAAAATGTAAAATGTAATTCTTACAATGGTAAAATGTAAAATGTAATTCTTACAATGGTAAAATGTAAAATGTAATTCTGACAATGATAAAATGTAATTCTTACAATGGTAAAATGTAAAATGTAATTCTGACAATGATAAAATGTAATTCTTACAATGGTAAAATGTAAAATGTAATTCTGACAATGGTAAAATGTAAAATGTAATTCTGACAATGGTAAAATGTAATTCTTACAATGGTAAAATGTAAAATGTAATTCTGACAATGGTAAAATGTAATTCTGACAATGGTAAAATGTAATTTTGAATGTACGACAATGGTTAGATATTGAGTCAAATTTCATCATAGATGATAAAATAATCTATTTATATAGCGATACATTGTAGAAATAAATCGTGTCCAGACAAGATATAGACCTCAAGATATAGACCTAGAGATATAGACCTATAGACCTAGAGATATAGACCTAGAGATATAGACGGTCCTCTGTACATTGTGTAGGACTATCTGGTTATAAGGAACTAGTATTATGCTATTATAAGAGGAATCAAGTAACAATGCCTGATATTGTTGGATTCTGTAGGTTGTTTCCTGTCATTATCGTAGATCTTAGAATAAAATAGTCAGTTGTCTCATTAATATGATTGTTAGACAGGCACCCTACAGAGCGGTCTGAGTTGTGTTGAGTTATTCTGATGTCGATGAAACCAGGCTATTTAGGTTTAATAAACTGTTTCTCCTCCTCCGTTATAAGAAGGGTTGTAACACAGTCGGTTAGAGTGTTAGAATAACGTGGGTTCTAAGCTCGGTCAGAATTCGCGAAAATCGACCCAGCTGTTAATGGGTAATGATATTCTGGGAAAGATCTATGCTAAGATATGATAAAATATGATATAATTAGTAAAACCGATCTTAAAATCAATTTTTTGTCGTAGGCCAAAACGTGAGTTTTTCAACATCCAACGATTGACTGAGTTTAAAAGTAGAAGAACTACGTCTTCGTTTTTATCTTAAATTTAAATAGTATAGAAATATATTTTAAGACACACGAGTCTAGAAACTGTGACGTATTGTTCTCTTGTATTTCCTAGTTTGAGTAGAATTATTGATATTTTAACTACCTGTTTTTTACTGTATTATATAGTTAATATTGAGTAACTGGTATTATTTGATGTTAGTTTGTCATAAGTCTGTGTGTCGATCACGTTCAAGTTTAAAATATAACTTTAATTGATTCAGAGACAATAGAAAACTATATTTCTAGAATTTAACCTTTTATTCCTGTTTGTTTTAAAACACAATTTCAAGTCTGTAGGTCGGTTCTTTCGTCTTCCGGTTTCCGAAATGTGGGTTTTTAATGTTTTTGCTGTCTGAAGCCGCGAATAGACGAGTTACGGTGTCCGGTGTGGTGTTCGGTGTGGTGTCCGATGTGGGTTATCGATACAAATTCAAATAATAGAAGTGAACACACGAGGTAGGGTCCGGACACGGTGATTTGTATTTGTATTTTCTAATGTACCGTGTATCCCGCACCGTGCACCACACCGGACACCGTAACTCGTCTATTCGCGTATTGACAGTCTTAGATTCCGTCGTTTTCTTTTTATTAAAATTGAACCTGTGTAACATTGAACCTGTGTAACATTGAACCTGTGTAACATTGAACCTGTGTAATATTGAACCTGTGTAACATTGAACCTGTGTAACATTGAACCTGTGTAACATTGAACCTGTGTAACATTGAACCTGTGTAACATTGAACCTGTGTAACATTGAACCTGTGTAACATTGAACCTGTGTAACATTGAACCTGTGTAACATTCAGTCCATGTAGCCAAACATTGATACAAAATAAAACAATACAAGAAATTAATAATTAGTATAAATTTTATAATCGTGAATCATTCAGAGATATGGTAATATCTGTAAAATATACAAAAACTCGTTTTCAGTTACGATGAATTTTGATAACGTTGATTTGTTGTTTATTGTATAGTGTATAAGATTAATCTAGAAAGGTCGACCTGGGATTTTATATTGTTCTGTTTTCTAGTTTTGGTAAATAACGAGTCGCCTGGGATTAGTGGTTTTATTTTTATATTCTTAAAGGAGATTTATTTGAATAGTTAGTTTCTGTAGAGAAGTTTTTAATCGTGTATTTCCTGATGTAGCTAGCCTTGAAAAACTAAACACACCGACCGGAAACACCAACACATCGAACTCGAGGCCGTCCTGACAAAATTTCCCTCATTGCACACTGCACAGTGGAACAGACTAAACAGTTTCTCCCCCCCCCCCCCCCCCCCATCTCTTATAGTATCAAGATATTTACTGCCTGTGGGAGGGGGTGTCACATGACGCCCTGTTTACACTCCATAGTGTGATCTTTTCTCATAAGCAAAAAATGGCATTTATAAGCAAAGTGGTGTTTAGAGTAAACATACATGTGGTAGGCCTACCTCACTCTCTAATTGCAACCTGGTATTGGCTGCCTGTGGGAGGGTAATATCACCCCCATCGATCAGGCTTAGTATGTAATAGTCTTACCCTGATACTAAATAGTTGTAAAGAGTTTGTTTTTACACCATATTCAGACCGACTTAAACCGATTCTACCGTGTTTTTATTATATTAATTCGGATCACTGTCGTTACGCTGTCAAAATTTTCTCCAGTCTAAATTATTGGTTCTAAAATACCGTCAATATCAAAATATACCTTTCGATAAATAATATAAATATATACAAGATATTCCAACTGTAGCTTCATACAGAGATTCATGTTCGTACTGACAATTCTAAATAAGAACATTACGAACCATCGTGGTTGATTCACCAATAAAATAACAAGGATACAAAACAATAAATAAAAGCAATGCGAAATACATAGAACGATAAGACGAGGTTAGAGGATCTTGTAGGCCCTTGTGGAAATATTAGTTAATCTATTTGAGAAAGACAAATACTCGCCGAATTAAACATATATTGTTTTTAAGGTGTCAAACTCTGGTTAGTTGGATGATGACAAGTTTACGATTACTTACAGCGGATGGTGATATCACAGACTAGGTAGTTGTTGGTAGATGACAAGTTAACGTTCTCTTCCAGCTAACTGATATCACAGACTAGGTAGTTGTAGGTAAATGACAAGTTAACGTTCGCTTTCAGCTAACTGATATCACAGACTAGGTAGTTGTAGGTAGATGTCAAGTCATCGTCCGCTTCCAGCTAATTGATATCACAGACTAGGTAGTTGTTGGTAGATGACAAATTAACATCCACTTCCAGCTAACTGATATCACATAGTAGGTAGTTGTAGGTAGATGACAAGTTAACGTTCGCTTTCAGCTAACAGATATCACAGACTAGGTAGTTGTTGGTAGATAAAAAGTTAACGTTCACTTTCAGCTAACAGATATCACAGACTAGGTAGTTGTAGGTAGATGACAAGATAACGTTCACTTCCAGCTAACTGATATCACAGACTAGGTAGTTGTTGGTAGATGACAAGTTAACATCCACTTCCAGTTAACTGATATCACATAGTAGGTAGTTGTAGGTAGATGACAAGTTAACGTTCACTTTCAGTTAACTGATATCACAGACTAGGTAGTTGTAGGTAGATGACAAGATAACGTTCACTTTCAGCTAACTGATATCACAGACTAGGTAGTTGTAGGTAGATGACAAGATAACGTTCACTTTCAGCTAACTGATATCACATAGTAGGTAGTTGTAGGTAGATGACAAGTTAACGTTCACTTTCAGCTAACTGATATCACAGAATAGGTAGTTGTTGGTAGATGACAAGTTAACGTTCGCTTTCAGTTAACTGATATCACATAGTAGGTAGTTGTAGGTAGATGACAAGTTAACGTTCACTTTCAGCTAACTGATATCACAGACTAGGTAGTTGTAGGTAGATGACAAGATAACGTTCACTTCCAGCTAACTGATATCACAGACTAGGTAGTTGTTGGTAGATGACAAGTTAACATCCACTTCCAGCTAACTGATATCACATAGTAGGTAGTTGTAGGTAGATGACAAGTTAACGTTCACTTTCAGCTAACTGATATCACAGACTAGGTAGTTGTAGGTAGATGACAAGATAACGTTCACTTCCAGCTAACTGATATCACAGACTAGGTAGTTGTAGGTAGATGACAAGATAA